TTCTTGAAATCTTTTTGCTTTGAACACATGAAAAAAAATAGCTAGGATAAAAAAGTACATTCATGGGTTATTCATTCCCTGTCATTATGGCCAACTATTTTAATGAACATGGAAATGGATTGTTTCTGGCCAGTAGACATGAAAGTAAGATTAAGCTTCTCGGTCACTTTCGCAATGGTGAAATATCCACTTACAACAACTCTGACAGATGTATGTTTGGTATTTGTACTCTGAATATTAAATATCATAGATATGTTTTAAGAAACATCTTCCTATTGCAGGCAAAACAACACCAGTGGTTGTATTTAATATATGTGAATTTTTCTGACTGCAGATTAATATTTTGCTCTGTTGTCTGGATTATCATGCTGTTTTTTTCCTGTTTGCTGATTGATTTAGCTGAGATGTGGTCTGCATGATTTTTGTTAGTCAGATGCCTCTTATGGGTAAAACTGTTTGGTGACTTGCAATCACAATAAGTAGCTATAGTATGTAGCTCTCAGATGAAGAGCATATTTTCTACTGATATCACATTTTCTTAAAGAAATCTTTCTTTCCTTCCTTCCTCCCTCTCTTCCTCCCTCTATATTTTATCTGGGTCCTATTCAGTAGGCATACTGTATTTGGACTGCACAAATCCTGATGCCCAGTAGATGGCAGAAGGAGACAAAGAATAATCTATGATGCGTTACCCCCTATGTTCAGATATCTTTATTATTAAAAGCTGAAATAAAACAAGAGAAATCTAAGATTGAGACAAAATCCAGTGGTTTCAGATCCTTACAGCTTTATTTTATTCTAGTTCACCATAATTAAATTGTGGTGACAATAACTCACATATGATGTGAAGCAGAAGTAACTGCCACTCTTGTCTCATAGCATTATTATTCCTCTATTACTTGGACTTACAGTTCAAATGAGATCTGAATTAAATATCTAAATTCATTATAGTAGCAGAACTGTGAACTCTTTTTCAGCATCACAGTTTCAATTTAGTTCTCTTTCTTTCTTTGGTTTGTCGTTTTATTTTTTCTAAATCTACTTTTAGTTGCTCCCTCCAATGCCGAAGCAGCTAGTTTTGGGCAGGAGGCCTTTCGCCTGTGTTGAATTGAAATGTTTTCCATCCATCCTTCAATCATCAAAAAACTACCAATTTCACTTGACATTTTGCTACCCTCATTGCTGATTCCCATTCTGTCTCTTTTGCTGCTGCTTTCAGAAACTGACAGTTACCTGAATTCCCTCCAATGTAACGGATGTCAAATTCTAGCACATTTTATACACCATGGGACAGCCTTAAAATGGAAGGAGAACAAGGATGAAAGTGCTACTTTAATGGCTCTTCCTCACAGTCAAGTTAAAATGCTACCAACCAGTTGCTGGCAGAAAAATATAATGGAATAAAATGGGCTACGTGCCCTACCAATCCTTATCGTACCACAGGAACAATGTTGGTAAAGGATTCTTGTTGTTATTGACTGAGTGCAGGGTGCAAGCAAAAAAATATCAGTTGTCAATATCCATCAATCATTCTCCTTAAACTCAAGCTAGGACCAGGGTCAGGACCAGGGCTCAAGCTGGGGATGAGGGAGTATTGGCTGGTGGCTAAGCCAGCAAGCTTGGTCTGTTAAAATTGGCTCTGGCTTTCTTGAGTACTTTATTTGGTTGCATTCAAAATCTGAATTCTTCTTGGATAGAGTTTTAGTGCTATTTCAGAAGAGCACTAAACCTGTGTTCAAAAGCAAACAAATGATACATACAGGGAAAGTTGCAATAATGGCTCTCTCCCTTTTGCTTCCCGGTGAAGCTTCCATTCTGCTGCCACTGCTTGTTAGCTGCTATTCAAACTGATCCAGGTCTGTGAGCCAGGACCATTTAGAGAACTAGTGGTTATACAAGGATAGCTCAGATTATAAGAAGCGAAGTCTCCTACTGTGCAAAGCCGGATGGTCCTAGAAGCCAGGAATTAATCTGCTCTCAACTGTAGAAAGCGAGGAAGATGACCTTGATGAAAATCTAGACAACAGGTGCTGAAATACTTTTTAAGCCCCAAGAAACAAGGTAACATTCAGAAGTGGCTCAGGCAGACATCTCCCTAGTTTACTGGTGTATAAGATGGGTGAATATGTATAGCGTAATCAAATTTGCAAGATACGCAGGTTTGAAATACAGCTAATCTCCACAAAAGTAGCTTTAGCCTTCCTGTGGAGTTAGTCTGGTCTATTTAATAGAGGTGACAATACTAGCCAGTTTGGTCAAGTGGTTAAAGTACCAGGCTAGAAAGAGAGAGACCATGAGTTCTAGTCCCACCTTAGACATGAAAGCCAGCTGAGTGATTTAGGCCAGTCATTCTCCTTCAGACCAACACACCAGATAGGGTTGTTGTGGGAAAAATAGGAGGAGAAAGGTATGTTGGATATTATTGACATCTTGATTTATTTGTAAAATAATAAAAGGCAGGATACAAATAAATAAATAAAATATTGTAATGCCTTAAAGCAACCATTGGATGCAGGGTAAATTCCACCATATAGTGACATCTGATTACATATTGACAGAATGCTTGGGTGAAGTACATGCGATTGTATTCATGGCAAAGGATAAAACAGAAACTTTACTTTAACTTCAGTATATTTAAGAGCAACTTAGGGCTGCCTCAGTTACAGGTTTGGGCCAAATAATAGAAATTGTCATAAGGACACAACAATAAGAGGTTGCCAAGACATGTTTTGATGTAACAAGATAAAATGAGAAAAATTCTAATACCAGGACGCTTTAAGCCTACATCCCTGGGAATAACTGGGCTGGGAATAACTTGGATGAATACTACTGTCATTGCTCAGTCACAAAAATCCAAAGAAATATTAGATGTCAGTAAGAATTTTTTCTGATTTTTTTCCTTCCACTCAGTGGATGTCCAAATTTGGGGACTTCAGGTCCAGGGGCCTATTTGGAGGCATCCATAGGGTGGAAGTGAGAAAAGTCAAGAGGGCTTTTTGACAATACAACTGAAGTAGTGCTACCTTTTTACATACATGCAATTCACGTAAATGTACATAGAGGCAGGGTTTTGATCATAGAGTTGTAACTGTCTTGATTTTCGACACACTGTCTCTCCCCAGAAGAGGACCCTGCCTCTATGATATGACTTATTATAGCATACAGGTAATCCTCGATTTATAATAATTTGTTTAGTGGCCATTCAGTTACAACAGTACTGAAAAAAATGACTTTTTCACATTTATAACCATTGCAGTATCCCCATGGTCATGTGAGCAAAATTCAGAGACTTGTCAACTGGATGACAGTTACAGTGTCCTAGGATCATGTGTTCAGCTTTTGTGACCTTCTGACAAGCATTTATTAGCGTATGGCATTCTGACAAGTCAAGTCAATGGGAAAGCAAAATTCACTAAACAACCATTTTATTAACTTAACTGCAGCGATTCACTTAACTGTGGCAAGAAAGGTCATTAAATGGGACAAAACATACTTAACAAATGTCTCACTTAGCAATAGAAATTTTGGGCTCAATTATGGTCATAAGTTGAGGACTACCTGTAGTATATTTTGTGAGCACAAAAGCTGTTTTGTTAGATCTGGGCTAGGTATTAGAGGAAGAGGATAATTTTCTGCCAGTTCAAACTATCTTGCAGGATTGTTGTGATCGCAGAATAGCTGGTGGGGCTATTTTTTGAGAGAGAAGGAAAATGTAGGTTGGGCTACTATATCTAGATTACACAAAAATCCAGATGTTTGCTTTATCTCTTTAGTATCATCTAAATCTATGATCAAGTAGATGTTTGCAACCATCTACAGAAGCCCTGCTTTAATAATGTTAGAAATTCTAGTTATTGTAGTTGCCACATTGCAAAAAGATCATACTAAAGATCATTCTTGCAAGAAGTTCACATTAATCATGTCAATCTGACTTAAAACATTATAACAATATTGTTGTAAAATATTTTCCTGTATTGACTGAATTATATGCTATCAAGTCAGTGTTAATCTCCATAGAGCGTCCCAAGGAAAACCACTGCCTGCATAATTCTGATCTTTGTAGGTACAGACACATCTCTGCATCTGACTATTCTAAGGTGTTTAAGTTGGTGTCAATTCTTAGTTACCATGTACATTTTCTTCATGATGATCTACAGCTGTCTTAGTCCTTCTGTAAAAAGGCAGATACTATTTATCACTTCAGCATCTTTGTTATCAATTAACTGAGTTGGAAAGGACCTTGGAGATCTTCCAGTCCAACACCCTGTTCAAGCAGGAGACCCTATCCCATTCCAGACAAATGGCTGTCCAATATCTTCTTGAAAATGGAGCACCCACCATTTCTGGAAGCAAATTAATTAGAATTAGAATTCTAATGTGCTGCATTACAAGAATTTTTTTCCTTCATCCAAGAGATCACAAAACACAAGGCATGAACATTGCTCTTTGGAAAATGCGTGTTTCTCATCTGAGGCAACCTTCTCTCTGATCACATCCTCCCTCAAACTACAACTCCCATGGTGCTTTTCATGGCTGCGTCATCCTGGAGAAGCCCCGGCCGTTGTGAGCAGTTTTGGCGCCTGTGCGCAATTCCCTCTCTTTTCCCTTGGCTAAGGAGGCGTGGCTTTAAAAGAGGCAGGGGCAGGAGGAAAGAGGAGGGTCTTGGCGGGGCAAGAGGATCCCCGAGAGGCAAAGAGGCGCATGCGTATATCTCTTGGGTGCAGCCGCCACTGCTACTACTGCTGCCGCCTTCTCCGTCGCCGCTGCCGTAAGAGCAGTAGCGGCGCGAGCGTGAAGGGGGAAAGAGGCGAGTTGTCTCGCGCTCTGGGAAGCAAAAGCAGTTGAACCGCCTGCCTCGCACGCGACCCCGCTTCGGCCGGCCGGCCGACCAACCAACCAATCGCCTGCCCTCTGGCTTTTTTTTGGGTTTTGTTTCTGTGTTTCTCTCTCTCTCCTCTTCAGTTTCTCTCTCTCTAGCCTCGGTCGGGAGCAGAACAAAAATATTTAAACCCCCTAGCCTCTGAAAAATCCCGTAAAGATGGTCGACCGCGAGCAGCTGGTGCAGAAAGCCCGGCTGGCAGAGCAAGCCGAGAGATACGACGACATGGCGGCTGCCATGAAGAACGTAAGTCGCCCTTTTCTGCCCTCCGTAGTGGCAATAAAAGGGCCCTCCCATCGCTTATTTTTTGAAGGAAAATTATCCTTGGGGGCTTTTGTCTGGAGGTTTTTCTTTGAAGTAGGAGGGAAAATAATTTCCACTTTTCTTTCCCAACATACATAAGGAGAAATAATTTTTAAAAATTGGCAGTAGGTTTTCCCTACCCCTTTCATTTGTGTGAGGAAACTAGGCTGACGCTCTGATGAAATAAATGTTAAAGAAGGGGAAATAATTACAGTATGCAGACAGTTATTTTGCTCTTCCTTGGACCCATTAATAACTTGGGTAGTTTTTTTGTGGGGGTTTTTTTGCGGGAAATAGTTTTTTTAATGAGGATGGGGAGAAAATACACTGTATTCAAACGAAAGGAAAGTTTGACGAGAAAAGCTTTGCATTTTATCACCTGTCTTCTCCCCAAAAGGAATAGGAAAAAACAGTTCTTCAGAATGGTGTTAATATACAGTATTCTCTTCCTTCACTCTAATTTATGAATGTGTTTCACTTTGAAGCCCACTTGCTATAGTGGCTGTAGAAAATGTCCTCGTGATGAATCATCGTTTTTTTGGAGGGCGGAAGGGGGATTGACAGTTATTTGGAAAAAAATGTATGACAGGGATACAATATTTAAGATTTTCTACACAACTTTCTATGCAGTCTTTGTGTGTGTGTGTGTATACACACACATTCTTGTCCCATACAGAAAATACTTTGGAGCTGAGGTACTGTAATGTCTTATCTCAGTTTTAAATAATGGAAATGGCTTCAAGGAGCAAAGACTGCTTTCTTCTCTTTCTGACTCTGCCACGCCTAGAGAAAAAGAGCTCCTTTCTTTCTGCACGTGTCTAAAGGAAATTATTCTACCTCGGGTCAGATCTCATTAACATCCTCATTGCATCTAAATGTCTTCTGGCGCGTGCAACCTTACTTTCTCCTGAATGTGTGTTTTGTGTATCTTTATAAAGTACTTGAAATAGCACATTACTAATACCAGTACTGGTTAAATGAGGAATCTTATTTCTTACAAACTTCCAGAGCAAATGCCCCACCCTGCTTAAGAGTGGGAAGGAGAGAACCACGTTCCTTTCGTTGCTGGAAAGAGAGCATACTCTTGGATTGAAATTTCCCATTTCTGTTTTTATGCAAAGAAGGGATTTTTTTTTCTTTTTTAGAGGGAATACCTCTCCCAAGTATTGTCTCCTCCATACTGAGAAATATCTCTTCCCTTTAAGAAAAAAATGGAGTACTCTGCCTTTACTGTAGTCATATTATGCAATGCAATCTTTGGCAGTTCAAAGGCTAATTACTTCATTTTAGAGAAATGTGATCTTTTTTGAAATAATTAAATAGTATTTGGTTCCTCTAAACAAGCATTTTCAAACGCTGTTCTGAATTTAAGTTAGTTTTTCCCCCTTGTTCCATAAAGTTGTTGGTGTGTTACAGGCAGCAATTGCTGTGAACCTTCATGTTTTAACAGAGTTACATTATAATGTTAGTTGTAATCTCCTTCCTCTACAATTTTTGCTTGTTCCTGGGTATACTGATGAAACTGTTCTGTTTTGCCTCATCATTGGGCCTAGTTGAAGTAGTGTCTTTTCTGCATTTGGAGGAAAAGAGAAGGGGGGGGGGATTTTGTGCTACTTATGTTTCAGTACTTTGAGGATAAACTATACTGCTTGCCCCTCCCTTTGTATCACCATATTGCAGAAATATGAGTAATGTTTTCTTGAGAGGACATAACTAGTGGCATAGATGTTCTGTCTTTTTTTCCCCTTTTGCTCCCCCTCTTCTAGTGCTTGGGCGGTGCCACTCCCTAGTAGTCTTTCCCAGTAATTCAGCTAGTATACCCACCCCCTAACTCCCACAAGCAGCCCCACCCACAATTGGCAACCAACTCATCCCTTAATCTGCTTCATGATAGACATTGAGCTAAGATTATGATTTTGATCAGTAAAACCACATTCTTATTTTGAACTGCAAATCTTTAAATACCTCTGTTTTCTATCCAGCACTCTTTGGGGGGGGATTTGGAGAATATAGGGAGAATTGCCAATTGAAAATTATCTTTGTACATTAATTAATACTTAATTTCTTTCTTGGGGTATTTTTTAATCCATTGCAGTGCATCCTTTTCTTAACCTTCGGATGAGAGTTCTTTTCTTTTGTGGTATAATCTTCATCTTTATATAGGCTGTCTTTTCAGAATTTTAGTACAGTTAATGGGTCATTGTGGAACAGAGCTCTTAAATAGTATAAACTGGAGTTTATTTCATTTTTTTACAATCCAATAAATAAAAAAGAAATTTTTGATCTGATCTTGCAAACAAAGCAATCGTGGGAGGCAGTATCAAGTCATTCCAGAAGATTCTGCATTTGTCATATTGCAGAGAGGCTAGACTGGGTGGAGAGAGGGAGGGAGGGGTTGCTTTAAAGAGGAGAACAGTTCTTTATATTTGCCTTGTTATTCAGGTCTGAGCCTTTAAGAGAAGCCAGCATGGCCTCTCACTGATGAATAGCGAATACTGATCTAGATTGGAATTGTCGCAGTCTGCCTAGGATGCTGCTCTTTTATCTTATTGCACCATTTTGTTCTAACCTTGTGTTTGTCAAGGAAATGGAACTGCCAGAGCTTTTCTCAGAACAGAGGAAGATTCAGCTAGCAATATAAATGAGATGGAGATCCATATGTGGCATAGCGGTTCTCTGTTAATATTGGGCAGCTCATTTCTGCAATGTGGCTTGATGCCAATCAGTGCATACAGACTAATCTCACTTAGAGCAGCTGAATGCAAGTCTTCAATCCTGGGTTTTACAACATATGCATTATATTTTCTGATTTGATGCCTGATTCCTCCAGTAGCTTTCCAAATTTCTTTTGTGTTTTCTATGATTTCCTTAAGTATTGCAACAATTTTGTATGAAGTCTACTTGGTGTAAAATAATGGAAATATAATCTCTTACACGCAGTATCTCACTGTTACAGAATTTCTTCAACAGTTAGCATTTAAATCTTTGAAAGTCCCTGCTTGTTGCCCTCTATTAAGGCTAAGACAAAAAAATAAGCTATTACAGAAGTGATACTACAGATCTAACAGCCATATCTCATATCACCCTATCCCATTCCAGCTGTGTGCAAGACTTATGACCTCTCACTGATTTCCCATTGTAAGGCAATGATGTCACAAACAATAGAGGCTGCAGTGCACCCAGGTGGTGACTGACTGCACATAGAGCATTTTGTCTCAGATAATGTAGAAATAGAATTACAATTAAAATGGTATCTACAACCAAATACAATGTTCTAAACTGCATCCTAAATACTGCTTGTGATTTATCTCTTAATCTAATAAACTTAGATACCTGTAGTAGAGTACATTGAAGACTGACTAAAGAGAAACTTGGCAGTGATGCCAACATCATTAAACTATTAAGTGTAAAAAACGGTCTGCTACATCAGATCAATGGCTAACATTCTGGGTCTCATGATGGATAGCAAGACTAAGCAGGATATGAAGACAATAGTGCATTCTTCTCTTTCAAAGCATGTGGCATTCAGAGGTATACTGCCTCTAATTTTAGAGGTAAAATATAACAGCTGTGGTGTAAAACTTTGTGCATCAGTATTCCTTTGCTGATTGTTTTTAATGTAGCATGCACATAAGAGCAAATTGTCCTACAGAGCCATGCTGCATCTTCACTTGGGTGAACTTGAAGGCCATTTGTTAAAATAACTTGTTGAAATGAGAAGACTCCAGCAGGTAAAGTCCAACAGGATGTGCTGACAGCGTCTCTGAAATGAATGCTTCAACATGAAACTCTCATAGATCAACTTCATAGCTGTTACTCAATAGCTTACTGTAGGATGTCTACATCAGTAACCATTATTTATAACAAAGATGGAGCCCTTTTACAACCAGTTTTAAGATAAAAGTACTTGCCAATTCTCAGTTCATAGGAACTGCATAGTGCCTGGATATTTTTATGCAACACCTTTGGACCCCTGATTTATCTACTTCATCTTTATTATTTTGAATTAATTCAGATTTCATGTAGAAGGACATGGTAAGTTAAATAGCATGATTTTATTTTTAGCATCTATCTGTAATTATTGGGCTTTCTGGAATTTGAAAACTATCTTAAATCAGCATTAAATGTTCTTAACAAAATTTAAATCACCTGATATGTGTTTAACAAGGCATTACACAGTTATCGTGAACATTTATGGAAAAGCTGCTAACAATTTTCTGTTTCTCTTCTTTAGAATGGGAAGTGCCTTGTAACCATTTTTGACTGTTTCTCTGTATCTAAGGGTCCAAAGCTTAATAGCATTAGGGCACAGTGTGATGTTACAGGTGACCTTTAATGTACTATTTACTGAAAAGGCTATCACTATACAAAGATAGATTAGAAATCTGCCCTTTGCAACTACAGTGTTTCTGTTAGCTCAGGAACCAGTACACAGTAAATGGTAAGCTTTAACTGTTTGATTAGTATTTAGATATTGTCATAATGACAATTTTCATGGTGAGATAGCTTCTGAATTGAAAACAGTTAAATTTAATTAAAAGATACAGAAGAACTTGTGGATAGCAGGAGCAAGAGACAATGTTCTTCCATCATTTTTACCTGACCCCAAATTCATCAGATAGTGTGTATGCGGGTGGCTCATTGGCTGTCTACTTGGCCAGATAATGTTTCCATATGAAAAAAGCAAATAGTGATGGACTTTGAGATTTAACTCCCAGATTGTCTATCACTGAGTTAATGCACAATAGATAATGTTAGAAGATGTAAACTCTGATGAAAAAGCACATTGCAAAATCAAATGGACTTTTATATGGCTTTTAAAAGGGCATTAGATTAATTATTGAGCTCTCTTTTTAAAAGGGCACATAGCTGAGAGGTTTTGGATCTAAGGAATTAAACACAATGTGGTTATTCTGCTTTTTAGTGTGGCGTGATACTTTGCA